GAGCAACATTGATCCAGGAGTTAATGTGTCAGCGACACACGACTTGCTCCAAGATCACAATAACTTCACTACTAGCAAAGATCCTGAGGAGACTGATGAGAATCCAGTAGCTGAGAGTATTACAGAAGCTAGCGTGTTGTTTGACGAACATAACGGCAGATCATTTCTTAATTTCACTACAGATAATAGCCAAGATAGCGAAAATAACGCTACAGACAGCGAAGTGGTTGGCGATGAGACTAAGGAAACTAGCTTTAACGCGTCAGACAGTGATTCACTAAATCACTTAAAAGAAACAAAACAAAGCCCTACGACAGATAGTGAGAAGAGCGTCGGAATTAACGATACATCATCTTTACATTCTACTACAACGAGAGAATTGCTTAGCGAAAGAAAAAATAAAGAGGAACTGCTGGAAACGACCTCATAGATATCACCAGTAATACTATACCGTGCACTCATTACCACTTCCTCCCACCAAGCCAGCCAACCTTACAGCCAAATTTGTCCCTGAACTTTACAACCCTTAGCCCTTTAAACATCACTACACCCTCAACAGACCCTCGAATACTTGAAGTAATCCCGCCGAGGACTTTAACAACAACTGAAGGATACAGCTTTGTTAACACCACAGTCCCTTGGAACTCTCAGAGCACTAAGAGCACCTCTCACTCTTCCACGATGTTGGGAGACAGCATAAACCCCTGGGTACCCGTCCCCAGCGAAACTCCACCACAACTGAGACCTAGTTCCTCATCTCCTTCAGAAGACATCAGCAGCAAATCTCCTGGAATGTCTGATGAAATGCCAGTGTCGCAGACTTCTTGGGGCATCTTCCAGTTCTTCCTTGTTCTGTGTCTCCTTGGCCTCATCACTCTAGGGTTTCTCTACTGGCGGAAAAAGCGGCGACAATAGAAAGTATCCCGTTGATTTACCAGAGTCTTCATACCAAACTGTCACAACCCTACCTCACCCCCGAGGACGACTCTAACTTCACCTCGCGCGGTGCACGAAGTAACTACAAGTCCTTCGAGTAATCACAAAATAGAATGAATGAATATATTTGCATGCGTGAGTGTAAGTATTTGGGGAAATGATGAATAACCTAACAGTTAAGTTGACAGATAGTTCTTGTACATTTAATAGACGTATATCTGTATATAAAGGAATTCACTTTTCTCTGGTTTTTTTGCACAAAAAATAGTACATAGAACTGTAAAGAAATGTGTTTGAGATTAAAAAATAATATCGGATTTTCTTAGTACATAACATGGATTTCTGGCCATTTTGGTTCAAGTACCAGGGGCAAATAAAGGTTTTTCAGTATTTAGAAACACGTCATAATGCTCTTTTACTTGGAAGTTCTGATGATCATTTTATTTACGAATCCCCAGCCTCCAAGGTATGTTAACCATCGTAGGAGGATGAAAGCTAGTCAACTGGGTGCGTTGTTGGCTCTTCCACGTGACCTGTTTGCTCCCAATATTTTCCATTCATTGTAAGTTCATTTATTCTAGCATATATGCCGATTTTCGTTTGTTTAACATATTGAAATTTATTATTATAATATTTATTTTTGCCTCATAGAATTATTTCTTAAGTTACGCATTTTAGAAGAAAGAATTATAGTTTTCATTCGTATACCATTTTTGTGTATATATCGTCATTTTCCAAAAGGAGGTCCAAGAAATACTAAATATATATTTTTTCGAGACGTAAATTTTAGATTGTAAATGGATTCATGTTCTAGTTGTTTATTACCTTTCAGTATATTAGTATATATATTAAAATCCAAGCTAAGCGCATGATTATGATTGTCAGCATTTATTTGTTTTCTAACTTGTGGTTACAAGGTTGCAAGACGATTCCAAGACGACTCAGTCACATGCCTACTACTGTAGATCTGTAGGCTTAGCAGACCCCTTAGGGACACTACTGCCCTACACCCTACTGTCTTTAGACGCATTGTCTTAGTCATCAAATAATTTATATAGTCGTTTATTATCCTTGGTAACCAGTGAGTGACATCTTAAAGTATTTTAAAAAAATAAACATTCGGATGAAAAAAATCTCCCATTCTCTCCTACCTTCCTCAAAATTTTTCTTCCTTTATTTACTACAAGTACATGTACAAGGTATGCAGTCCTAGCTGACATCAGGTATACTACCTATGTACAAGTAGCAACTTATCCTGCTGCCACATCAGTGATATACTAACTATGACATGGTATGCAGTCACTGACATCATGATATAACTAACTTCGTTACAAGGTAGCGTCCCTAGCTGACATCAGTGAATACTAACTAATACAAGAGTCAGTCCAAGCGACAACAGTGATATACTACATGTACAAGGTAGGCAGTCCTAGCGACATCATGATTATACTACTATTTATCAAGGATGCAGTCCTACTACATCAGGATTACTACATTAGTACAAGTATGCAAGCTCCTAGCTGACATCAGTGAGATACTACTATGTACAAGGTAGCAGTCCTAGCTGACATCTTGATATACTACTATGTACAGGTAGGCAGTCCCCTAGCTGAACATCAGTGAAATACTACTATTAACAAGGTATGCAAGTCTAAGCTACATCAGTGATTTACTACTATGTACAAGGTATGCAGTCCTAGCAGACACAGTGATATACTACTAAGTACAAGGTAAGGGCATTCCTAGCTGACGATCATGATATACTTACTATGTAACAAGGTATGCAGTCCAGCTGACATCATGATATACTACTATGTACCAGTAAGCAGTCCTAGCTGCAATCAGTGATATACTACTAGTACTAGGTAGCTAGTCCTAGCTGAATCAGTGATATACTACTAGTTACAAGTATGCAGTCCTCGCTGACATCAGATTTACTACTATTACAAGGTAGCAGTCCTAGCTGACATCAGTGATATTCTACGATTACAAGATGCAGTCCTAGCTGACATCATATTACACAATGTACAAGGATGCAGTCTCTAGCTGACATCATGATATACTACTATGTACAAGTATCAGTCCTACTGACATCACTGAAATCTACTATGTACAAGGGTATCAGTCCTAGCTGACATCAGTGATATACTACTAATGTACAAGGTATCAGTCCCTAGCTACCATCAGTGATATACTACTATGTACAAGGAAGGCAGTCCTACTGACATCATGATATACTACTATGAACAGAGGAGCCATCCTAGCTGACATCAGTGATATACTACTATTTCAAGGTAGGCAGTCCTAGCTGACATCAGTGCGCGATATACTACTATGTACAAGGGTATGCATCCTACTACATCATGATATACTACTATACAAGTATGCTAGTACCTACTGACATCATGATAATACTACGATGTACAAGGTAAACCAGTCCTAGTGACATCAGTGATATACTACAATGTAAGTCAAGTAGCAGTCCTAGCTGACATCATGATATTACTACTATGTACAAGGATGCAGTCCTAGCTGTACATCAGTGATATACTTACTATGTCAAGGTATGCATCCTAGCAGACATCAGTGAATTACTACTATTACAAGGTATCAGTCCTAGCTGACATCAGTGACGATACTACTATACAGAAACCCCTTGTTATGCTGAGCATTTCGGCATTTCAGTGTCCCAATATGCGACCCACACCATCGCTAACATCCAGGTACCCTTTACTGATGGTAACATAGACAACTGTAAAGAAACACGCGCCCAATGGTTCTTCTAACCCTGCGGAATCGAACCCAGACACGGTGTGGAACGAAGCTTTAACCAATCCAGGTCCTTTTTTCCAGGCAGTTAACCATGGAAAATCACACCTCTTAAAAACGACAAGAGTTGTACTGTTATGCCATTGGGCCCTCCGATGGTAAATAAAACGATCGAACGATTTCTTGAAAGTGTTGAGAATTTGAATCATTGATGTGCTTAATCCTGTGTTACATGTACACAGACTGATATTAAAACACTCGTAATTGATTCTCGACTAAATGAATTAAAGAGACACAGCAAACATTTAAGAATATCTTTCTTGGAAAACGTTTTCCGCTCCAAAGGATTGGAGATACCCTAAATAAAGTGTGCACACGTGTCCATCTGGTTGATAACTGCCACAACCACCTGTCCTCCCCGCCAATGAAGATCTCTAAAAGAAAGCCACACAACATTATTATGTGCATAAGAAAAGGCACGAGAAACTCTTTATTATAACGACGGTTTCGCTCAATGGGAGCTTTAGCTTGATAACCTCGCCTTAAGCCAAAACTTTGTTATAATAAAGGATACTCCGTTGATCTCTTTTTTTTTTATCTACTTGTCGGCTTGTGCCTGTTTCTGCTCACTGTGTGAATACTATGGCAAACAACCATGATAAAAGACTCGAGAAAACAAAAGACCCTTATTTGTTAGAGGGACAAGATATCTAGAACTTTTCTCTATTTAAGAAACCAAGGCAGGGCGCGCCAAAGGCGCCAAAGGAGGGAGGATGTGAGCTTGGGCCCGGAAGGCCATCAAAACAGCTCTTACCCCCCCCCCCGATAAAACTGTAATAATACTGCTCAAAACAACCTCCTAGCGTACCCCAGTTGCCCTTCCAACCCAAAAACCACCGAGTCCCCTCTGCCTGTATAGAAATTCTGGCACTCGCGATGTACAAATAGGTAGTGGGTGAGTGAAAAGGTTTAGTGCCGCTGTACTCCCCTGGCAACGAGCACTGACACTTTACTATGAAGACACTCGCCATCCAGCGCTAATCTTCCGCACTGTCTGTCTGCCCCGCTCAACAATCCCAACATCTCTTGTCTTGTCTTTGCGGAGCACTGCCGCATCACCTGCAGTGCTACAACACTACATACAGATTCAAAATAATATGAAATACAAATACCCCAGAGTTCCATACAAATTAAGATCAACTCTTTCTTTGGAATATAAATAGCATTGACTAAGTTGTACATATATTTTTCTATCTTTACAAAAACCATGTCGAGCAACGTCCTGTGAAAAATGAGAGTAATTTCAAAACATTTAACAGTTTTCAGGGTTTAGCGCTTAATTTCGATATTATAAATAATAATAAAACAATCTCAACACCTCAGAACAATCAACTCATTTTATTTGAAATGTTTAAATAAATACCCATATATATCCATGGTAATATAAATTTTATTAGAAATTTTCTACGCGCTAGTTACATAAAACAGACCACAAAATAAAGCTTTGAATGTCACAGTCAGCTAGTGTTTTCCCATGATTTTACTCTTAAACAGCCTGTTAACAGTTAAACAGCAGCTATACAACACTGTAAACAGAAACATACTACTCAACATCATTATTTAGGACATCAGAAAGGTATCATCACCATAGGAACACCACTCCGTCGTGATGGTGTAAGTCCTGTGTACGCATAACACCACGACCGGGTCAACCATTTTGACTATGACCCTGTCAGGGAACCAGTATGTCCCCTGTTTCCTAACGAACAAAACACCATATAACAACAACGCCTCATAGTCTAGATCATATGTTCAGCTGCCAACTCTGGTGGTTGTAAATTACCAATGATTAACGTAAGTGTAATCACACCCATTATACTCACTAATGTGTATTTTCTGAAAATTATCTCCTTTATACAAAACGTACTTTTCGTCCTACATACAGGCCTATGACACAAAAAATCACAACACAAACCCACATCGTTATGGCACCTATGTTACTGACTACGGTACTTCGCTCACATAATTTCAGAAGGGCGTTCAGACTGTTTATCTCAAGGTGGAAAACAAACAAGATATTCTATTTTTTATCAACAAATCTTGTTTCTCTCAGTTGTTGTTGATTAATGGATTTTTAAAGCATCATCATCAAGAAGGATCAACAAGGCTGCCTGTAACTTTTACAACACCACCAATCAAGAATATTTCAGTCCCTACAAAGAATTACAGAAAACCCTCACATAATATAACAGAAAGGTACTTCTAGTGTATTATCCTCGTTCTCTAGAAACTTAAAAAGTACATTTCATATCGTTCAAAGATCTTAACTTTTTACAGTTCGTAAACTATTAAAAAAAATAAATGGACTATTTATAAAAGCCAGGTCCTATTTAAATACCATATTATAAACAAAAGAAGCTTTTAATTGTAATGAGGTGCCTTGTATAATTAAAAATATATACAAAAATATATCTATAAAATGGTCGTTTTACTAATAATGGATAATGATGCCACACAGTATTTACTAATTTCTTAATTAAAGCCCCATTAGTCAATCACCAAAATTATGATCACATCAGATCGGTCGAAGACCACACTAAAAACCAATAGATATAATCATAACCATGATTTTTAAAGAATGACTGGAGGCATGGATGGGGTCTCGTCAGATGACCAAAAGCTCCAGCTGTGGTCAGCATATGACTAAACTCGCATCAGAAAACACATGTCCTGTTCCGACAAACCTAAGACCACACTATACCGGGTCTTCAGACCTACAACGGCGGCTACATAAGCTCGTGCTCGCATTAAACAAAACTATGAACTACTTTTTTTAAACAGTACCTAAACTAGTAATCTGGCTAGTACTCGAAGTGTAAACAAAGAAAAAAGATAATGGTGACAATTTATTTCCTTAGTTGTGTGTAGGTTTACAATATTTTGATCAAAAAAAGTAAGTGTATGGTTTTAGCCTAAGCATAAGTAACATGCCCAGCTCAAGTTTCAGCATTATGATCACTGAAATGTTACGCCTATTCTCCACTACTCAATGGTGTTAATAGACTATAAGCCATTTCTTATTTTGGGGGATAATGTTTACCTAAACATGTAAAATTATTGTCTTTGCAAACCCTCAAATATGATTTATATGCTACCTCAACAAGCCTAGATTAAGGAAAACTAATGTAACATAACTTTTTTTCAGTTAAACTAGTATTTTCTGAATAGAGAAGATTGTTTTTTAAAGCCATTTTACTGGGATAAATAGTTTCAGTCTGAATGTCACCTTGTGGTGATTAAAATGGCCTTCATAGTTATTTTAAACTAACATAATTCTTTGTAACTGACCAATGCAAATGTATTTATATCATACCATAGTCAGTACTGGATTAATTCATTGCATAGTGATTTGTATGATGTTTTAATCTTTTGGTTTAAATTATCATCATAAGTTTATTAAAAATATATACGCATTTCTCGGTAATATAATGACCTGAGCTAAAGATAGCACAAGTTACCAAGACTATTCCATGGAGTCGCTGATTTTAATATGTCAGTAGTATTGTGTTCCAGATGGTCAGCCCACCCAACCCAAGTACTAACCACACCACAACGATTGTACACCTTTCTAATGAAATAAAAAAAATATTCTCAACATAGCATTATTAGTGGGTGTCAAAGGATTATGATATAACAGTGAAAAAGAGAGAGATTTCCTGTGTCTGAGTACAGATTATAAGAATGGTATTTTCATGCCTAATGAGTTATATTGGGTATTTTCTCTACAACTTGTTAATTCAACTGACTTCTCACATATAAAAAAAATCGTTTCCAAAAGCTTGAACACATTTCAATTAATAAAAATATATGATTTCTATCAAACCATACCATAGGAAGGGATAGAATCTGCTGTCAGAATCATAAAACTCCAGACCGACGCATTAGCCACTGGGCCAGCTGGCTACAGTTAAATTTCGTCCAACTGGTACATGTATACACCATGGGAAGTATTAGCCATAGGCACCAATGTGACGCAGAAATGCACGTTTTACAGAAGAATCTCCCACCATCTGGCCGTGACGAACTCAGCCTCAAGTCCCCTCAAAGTCGTCAACATGACCCACTAAAAGTCTTTCCATCAGATACACTTTTTTTTAAACCTCTCTACCATCAGTTACACAAATATAACAAAATAGTAGCTCTCCCTAACATAACATAATCAATCTCATAGGCAAACTCATTTCAGTTACTTTTTTAATGTAATATTTGTACAAATTATATCACGAAGCACAGATTTTAAAACTGCTAAATTCTATTCATAATTCAGTGTTTTTGATCTCTCAACACTCTAATATCAATTACAAATAATATTTTTTAGAATTATTTTATTATAGCAACTACTATATCACACAAATTAGAGGACAGTATGAAAGTGGTTGATTCCATGAGTTTTCTTGAAACAGTCAAGAAAGTTATGAAACTAAGAGTATTGTCAATAATATTTTGAAACTGAGAGTATTGCAAAGAAACAAATGAAACTGAGAGTATTGCAAAGAAACAAATGAAACTGAGAGTATTGCAAAGAAACAAATGAAACTGAGAGTATTGCAAAGAAACAAATGAAACTGAGAGTATTGCAAAGAAACAAATGAAACTGAGTGTTCTCAATGAAGTTATGAAGTTGATAGTACTGTCCATAAAGTTATGAAGCTGATAGTACTGTCCATAAAGTTATGAAGCTTAAGTACGTCCATAAAGTTTATGAACGATAGTACTGTCCATAAATTAATGAAGTTATAGACTGTCCATAAATTTATGAAGCTGATAGTACTGTCCATAAAGTTATGAAGCTGATAGTACTGTCCATAAAGTTATGAAGTTGATAGTACTGTCCATAAAGTTATGAAGCTGATAGTACTGTCCATAAAGTTATGAAGCTGATAGTACTGTCCATAAAGTTATGAAGCTGATAGTACTGTCCATAAAGTTATGAAGTTGATTAGTACGTCATAAAGTTATGAACAGATAACTTTCCATAAAGTTATGAAGCAAAGTACTGTCCATAAAGATTAGAAGCTGATAGAACTTCCATAAAGTTATAAGCGGATAGTAATGTCCCATAAATTATAACATAGTACAGTCCCTAAGTTATAATCCTGATAGACTGTCCATAAAGTTATGAACTGATATACTGTCCATAAAGTTTGAAGCTGATAGTACTGTCATAAAGTTATAACTGATAGTACTTCCATAAAGTTATGACAGCTGATAGTAACTGTCCAAAAAGTTTATGAAGCGGATAGGTAACTGTTCCATAAATTTTATGAAGCTGAACACCTTGTCCAGAAAGTTATGAAACTGATTTAAACACTCTAAACCTTAACTACTTTATTCCTTCAAGTTTCACTGTTAGAAGTGTCTTTCTTCTTAACATCACAAATATTTTTGTTTCTGAACCTCCAACATTCACACTTACAATAAATGACTTTACATCAGGTTAGATTCGTTGTTAATAAGGTTTAGAGTCAATCACCAACACGTAGGTCATTAAGCTGCACGTCACCTCTACTACACCTGTCAAGATACTTTATTACAAAAATAGGGATCACGGTAACTCTGATCAGTATTACACGCATACAACTCTCATGTATATACCCTCAAATTATTTATAATTAATTATTAAAGATCACCGGCATTCTCCCTGGTCCCGGGCCTTTTTCCATGTGGCCCGGCCTTGCTCCCTCATTTGGGATGTTCTGAACCTAAGTTCTCCCATGGAGGAGCACAAGTACCTCCTCATCTTTTGGACTAACTGTCCCCAGGCCTACCACAAGCTAGGCCTCTCTGGCTGCCACCCCCCCAAGGCTAATGGGAATGACAGTCTTGTGAGCTGTAAGCTCGGCTCAGGCACCAACCCTACCCAGAAGGTTAGGCATGGTGTCGAGGATCTCCCAATATGAAAACCATATTCCTTTTACTATAGATTCAATTAAAATAAGCTGATTAACACGACATATTATAAAAAAACTTTGTCAAATTCTGCACAAATTACTATAACTATTAGATATTGGTTTGTCCATTTCTTTGTAATATTAAATATATTAGTGACAAATATGACTGAAAACTTCCAGTTGCTTTTTAAGTCAACTGAGACACAAAATAATTATTAACGAGTTAGTATATAACAATGAGTGTGAAGAGTGGATGCAGTGTAACAGGACCCAGTGTTCATTTCTTGAACAATGTTTAAACGAAACATACACGTGGTATAAATATAACAGTCTTAATGTTACACACCATAATGGCTATTGACTGATCCCATATAACATTTTTGAGGTTATTATGTTCTATTCATCTTAAAGTCAATAACTCATACATATACTTTCATGTCAAGTTAATTAATAATTACTCAATAGATAACAGAATAATAAATAAAACTATATAACAGGGAAAATATATAACCCATTTATATAATCTCAATATTACATATATATATATATATATAATTATATAATAATAATATAATATAAATATCTATATCTTTAATATATATATATATATATATATATAGATATATATATAATATTTATAATATAATTTAGTCTTAGAATAAGACTACAATATCGATAAATAAACAGAAAATACAAGCATATTCTTTTAATTATGTAAGTATTAGCGAATATAATACCTTCAATCCATTTATTGTTATTCATACATCTAAAGATCACCTAGTTATTTAGGTGAAGGTAAAGATACGTGTGGCAGAAGACTCTCTTGAGGAAATGTCTCACTGTACGGACACCTTTATTTAATAAGTGGAAAAAGCTCTGCTTAGGGCGAAAAACTGCGTCAATAAAGACCTGCGCAAATATTACTAGAATTACCGACTATGTTAGGTAAAAGGAGAGGCTCATGCGTCCTTTTACCTAAGAATAAAGGCTTATTTTTACTACAAGTGTCTATATTGCTGGTAGCAGTAGGCTTTCCCCCAGTGTACTTATGAGAATATTAATCACTGAAGCACATGATTTTAAAGGCCAAACTAATGACAAAACATTGAGTGTTCATTCCACAGCAACGTACCCTAAAGTCCATTTTCCACTCAGCGAAAATTATTCAAAACTTGTGGTCACCACGCACGGCCTGAAACTGCAGACTGTTTGGGTACTGGGCACCTTCTTATCTTAAATCCCTTCTGAATTGCGGTACCGAGTTACCATCATATTAGTGTTGAAGTATGATCTCTTTCTCCCAGGTTGTTGGGTTCAATGATGAACTGTGGAAAGCAAAAACCAGTGTATATATTTAAAAAAAATGTAAAGCCGTTGAAATGCCTTATTTTGAAAAACGTTTTTGGAAGTCTGCAAAAATCCTCCTGATAGAATTGTGAGTGTGAAAGTGTTGTATATGACGAAATAGTTCATTTTGGGGATTTTCTATCTTTTTTTTGGGTCAACCTCCTCGGGGGAGACCAACCGACTTTTGAAAAAAAAAACATATAATATATATATATATATAATATATATATATATATATATATATATATATAAATTATATATATATATTAATATATATGATAATATATTATATATGATATATAATATATATATAAATATATAGATAAATATATATATATTTTATATATATAATATATATAATAATATATATATATAATTATTTAAAGACAAAATACTTTGAACGAAACATTCACAAAAAATATACAAATAAAACACATAGGTAAACTCAGAGTCTACATCTCGAATACTTCGTCCCAGCTCCCCTGCGGTGGGCCCGCGTGCCCTAATGCTGCAGGCATTTCCTCTCTGATCGCAACTCTGAGTCTCTGAAAGAGGATCTGGTCCCCTGAGGTCCTTGGTTTCTATGATGAGCTTTCACCCAGCTCTTTAGGAACTTAAGAGCACAAAACACTTGCCCCATCTCCAGGGTCTCCGACCCTCTGGAATAATTTATAGCAAGGGGGAAGTCTTCATATTTTCGGATCTTCCTGGGTACTCCCTTGGCTGGCAGCTCCACCCCCCCTTCCACTACAGAGTATGCAATAGTTCTGCCAAGTGCAGCACATGTGTAGTCCCCCAGCAATCCTGCTTTCCATCCTTCCAGGTAGCATATGGCTCCCATCAGGACGCTTTTTGACTTCCCATCAACCTCTGTACTTGGGGTTCCCGTTGATCTGGGAAACGGTCTGTGCTAGGCTTCACTTATTATGTCATGATCGCCTCATGACCTGGCATACTTCCCTTCTGCTGTGTACACACGAGACCATGGAGTCCGAATTGAATCAGCTGTCGCCCTGCCGCAAATACACCTATGTCGGTGAGAGGGGGCGGCTAGCGAAGAGCAACACCAATCCGAAGGCCTGTGGTCGAGAACGGGTCCCAGGAGGAATGGGAACAGCTAACAGGAAAATCTCCTGAGTGGTGGTCCTTCACGCCAGAGACCCACATTGTTCCTTCCTGAAGCATTGGAAGCATTGTGTTGGCGATTTGTTTCCATGATCGGTTTGGTCCCATTGGGACTGTTTTGTGCTGTTTTGGGCGGAGACTGGACTACTGGAAGTCTGTAAGGTGTCCCACCGATTTGCTGCTTCAGTAAACCTGGGTCTTGACACTACCAAGTCCTCTCAAAAGCTTCGGCACTATCTTCTTGACTAAGGCACTGAAGCCAAAACACGAAGACAAAAAGCAGTAAGCAACATGCTTTGCTTTTACGCACCCCTATACCTCCCAGTCGCACTGGAGGTAGCCTATCCCATTGCTCATCCTCAATTGACAGTTCAGTGCATTCTTAAAAGTTGATCTCAGTTGTGCTCATACTTCATCAGTTTGGTTGTCAAAAGAGGGTGCACACCTCAAGACGTAAGTTTGTAGGCTTGGCATAGTAAACACCTTTAGGAATACAGACAATCATGGGCATCAAATCGCTTATTCTCTCCTCCATTCTCATAAGTCATTCAATTGTCCCTGTGGACAGTATCGATGCACTGGTACCAGCTGTCCCCCAAGAGGGTACTGTTGGTAACGGAGTTGAGTGTGAGATTTCCGGGAGATTCTTCGCCACAGCAGTGATTTATTCCTGGTCGCTGTGATATTCACACTTTAGAGGGATTAAGATGATCCCCAAGCCTCGTCCCTGTTTTTCACCATTTGTAGGTCCCCCACGAGGACCTTCAGTACCTGCCAAGTGCCGTACATCCAGGTACCATATATTGACTCACTGCGTAGCGTTTGAATTAGTTCTCTTATACTGCCAAGCATAAGAGAAGTGGCAAGTGGGTCACCCTGCTGAAAACACCTCTGATGAATTAATTTCCTTTTCTTCCAAAACAAAAGAAATTAGGTTTGCTGTAGCCGTCTGAAATGAAGGAAAAGAACTGGGAACCGAATAACCCCCGACAGAGTGCAAAACAGCATCTCTCCTCACCATAATAAAGGCATTTCTAAAACAGTTGACTTTGGCCTTGTCTTCTGGTAGTCTGATGTAGGCCCTTGCTGCATGAGCAGCCACTCTTCAACTTGCCTGAAGAGAGACCCCCAAACAGTTGGTTCTGATAAATGGTCAGCTTCTAGCGAATGTTTTCTCACGCTGCTTTGGCATCGAACGCGAAGAGTGTTCCAACGAAATGTCTGATCCTCCCATCCCCTTCTTCAAAGCACATAGTGAGGCTCCAAAAAAGACAGGTTTAATTTCTTTATTCTTGATTCGCCCAGCCCCAGGCAATTTGTTTGAACGAAAGTTGTAACTCGGTGAGAAGAATTGATATCGATTCAACTTATTCAATAGGCAGTAAAATAGCGTTTAACATCCTCTATGGATGGTTGTGGAAAATTTGGTAAAATTTGCTTATAATTAGTAATGTTTTAGTGAAGAGTTTATATAATGTAATGTAAATCATCTTCATTCTTCAACAACCGCCGTATCCCACCGAGCAGTGCCCCAAAAAACTAAAAGTTCTCTTTTTAAATTTAGTAATTTATACAAGGAGAAGGGTTAACTAGCTCCTTCTCCCGCATTTTAGTCGCCTCCTACAACACGCCATGGCTTACAGAAGATTCTGTTCTTTCCACTTCCCATGAGGTAAGAGGAAATAAACAAGAACAAGAACTAGTAAGAAAATAGCAAAACCCAGGAGGGTGTGTGTGTATATATATAGCTTGTATATGTATTGAGTGAACCTAAGAGTAGAATAGTAAAGCAAGACGTACCAATCTTGCAAAGTTTAGAACAAAAGAAAAGACACCAGCAATCCTACCATCAGTAAAACAATTACAGTTTTGTTTTTACACTCACTTGGCATGACGTAGTAACCTCCCTGGCGGTTGCTTTCTACCAACTACTACGTTCAGGATTGCTTTTTAGAACAGTTGTGACAGAACCAACTAGAGAAACAATCTGCTTACTTGTTCTTGCCAACAAAATTCACTAATTATAACTTGAGGTTAAGAGGAGCTTGGGAAAGTGATCACAAATCACTTAGTTTTCAATATATCATGGAATTACCCAATAACTGCAATCAAATTCTCTGTCCCCAGTCTTTCGCTTGGCGACTTCATGCATAAAAATTACCCTGTGGGCTTAAATTGGATGTCCTGACTATGGTCAGTAGGTGATCATGGTTGCCAGTATGACGTTTTTCAGACAAAGTTCTAGCTGCCAGACAACTTTTAGTCCGAGTAGGGAAATTAGATATAACAAAAATTATCCTAAATTGATGAACAATAGATTAAAACTCTCATATTGGTCAAAAGAGAAGGCATATATAGCTTATCAAAAGAGGGATGGGCAGTTAAGAAATCAATATATTCAATTAAAGAGAGAAATAAAGAAAGGAATAAGAAAAGCAAAAAGCTAGGTCACAAGTATTCAAAGACAACCCAAAAGGTTCTTTTCCAGGTATACAAAAAGATTAAGGACAACATGACCCACTTAAGCGTAATTCTGGGCAGATCACTGACAGTGAATAAGTATATGTTGAAATTCTAAATACCTACTCCTGCTCAGTTTTCACCCTGCAATACTATCGATATTCCAAAAAAAAATAGATTATGTAAACAGGAAAAAAATGGAATTTTTAAAAAATAAACTAATGAACGATTGCGTAACTAAGTGACATGGCCTCCAACACATAAAGAAAACTAAAACCTAAACAAATCCCCAGCCCTGATGAACTGTTGCAAGGGTGTTAAAGGAATGTAAAGAGGAACTTAGCATACCTTTGGCTAATCTTTTTAATATAGCAATACAATACTGCAATCGTCCCTGAGAATGGAAAAGGCAAATGTAATACCTATTTACAATCGTTGACAGTCCTTGGCTTCGAACTATAGACCAATAAGCCTTACCTCCAAGTGGAAAATTTTACAGTCTGAGAGAATCAATGCAATTGCCAGCATATCAATTCGGAGCCATCTTGACAGCACAGATTGATTAATGATCCATCACGGTTTACAAAGGGACTTCCTGTTTTTACGAATCTACTCTACTTTTTTCACATAAGGGTTTGAGGAGGTAGATCTGTAATAAATATGAATATTGTGTGATATGACTTCAGTAAGGCTTTCGATAGAGTTCCACACCAAGGCTATTGATGAACTTAAGCACACGAATAGAGGAGAATTTTTTTCCTTGGTAAAGCATGGCCTGACAATAGACACAAGAGTTTGCCTAAATGAATAATCAGAATGGGGGCACGTCACAAGCGTGTTCCCACAGGGGTCAGAGTTGGCCCGTTGTTGTTCACAATTTACATAAACGCCATAGATGAGGAATAAAGAGCGTCATAAGCAAATTTGCTGATGACACCAAATAGGCCGTCCAATTCATTCTAATAGGACCAGAGCACTCAGATATTGCATAGACTGATGCAATGGTCGGAGAAGGGCAGATGCAGTTTAATATTGACAAATGCAAATTCTAATGCTGGACATTAAAATAACCAGCACATATAAACTAAATAATGTAGACTTAATAACTACTGATTGCAAAAGGATTTAGGAGAGTTCTGGTTAGCAGTAACCAAAAACCAAGACAACATTGCATAGTGTTTGCAATAAAGCTAAAGAATTACGCTTCATATCTAAAGTATAAATAATAGAAGGTCCTCAGGTTTTCTTCAACTCCTAAAATCCTTGATAGGCCTCATTAGATTATGCGCTCAGTTCTGGTCACCCGTATACGATGGATATTAATGCTCGAATACTACAGATAGATTGACAAAGATGATACCCATTTTCAGAAATCTTCATATGAGAAGACTGA